TGTCCTGGTTGACTGGCATACGGCAAGCGGGAATAAGAGTCCCTAGTAGTAAACAGGAAAGAGAAAATACTTGTTTAAAAAGTATACTACAAGTCGAATTCAATTCATATCAGAAGAGTAGACCCATAGACACAGTTTGGCATGGATATAGTCTCGTTTAAGTGTCCTTCAGGAGAGTTTTCAGTCATTAATCTCTCTGGGGCTAGGGAGGAAGAACCCAAATGCGTAATCTCGGTGACAAATGGTCCCACAGCGCCGTTTAGTGGTTACATTATGCTATGCTTACTGAAACGATTTGAGTAGCAATGATTACGTCGCCTAACTACTAATCCTGACTGCCAGTCCTAACTAGCTACTTAAACAGCTAACGTCAACGGCCAGGCATAACTACTACTAGCTACGACTTTAACCCATCCCTTATTCGCAAAATTATATAATTCTAAAAACCTCCGCCAAACCTCAAAATACCTGACTATAACTGCCTCAGAGAATGCAAGCCAGCGTAAACATTATCATAAAACGAGTTTGAAAAGCAAAGAGAACTATGTTTAGCTTCTCAGCCCTTATTAATTAGACTCATATTCTCTGTCAGTTCCGTGGACTCAGACACAGTGCCTAACAAATCTAAACAGTCCATCGACGCTCGCTATCAGCACTCCCTACTCATATCAAGAGCATCAAAGTTCAGGAACCGTGTCAGGCGTCTCAAAGGACGCTTCTAAACTGTAGACAACTGACGTCTCCGTGATTACACAAAGGAAAACTGTATAACGACTGATATCTCCATTAAATCAGATCAGGGGCCAGAATCCTTTATTCAGCGGAAGGTGCTTTATACAACTGGTCATACCATTACAGTTGGCACTGACAGAAACGGCCGGTAGGAAAATAGGAGCTGAAAAGCCAGATAGACTTTGTATGTCAGACAGCACAATTAAGAGGGGGAGCTGCCGGCGACGTGGTGAAAGCAGATTTAGACAATCCGAAACACTATTAACCTCGCACTCATTTTCCATATAAATGTAAGGCCTGACGAGAATTTGTCGAAAGTACACGTATACTCGCCAAACTGGACTTCTGTATTCAATGATAGTTGAACTTTCATTCAGATCAATATTTCCGATCTAAATCGGCATGATAACGAGCCCGTGGCTCAAGGGTTAGAGCGTTGGACTTGCAGTCAACAGATCGCGGGTTCGGACCTCTGGTGGTGCACCAAACAGGGTTGGGTACGACTGGTTGATGACAGCTAATGAGCGAGAAATAACAATTCCAGTCTCTCTTACTTTTGTCAACTCTGAAACACAGTTAAGCAATCTAGAGGATGGACAACTAGTTGGAGGTTAGGGCATATAATGTAGGCGAAAAATGGTTCGCCCAATAGACCCAGAATGATAAAGTATAGGGGTGCGAAAGACGAGCTATTTTGTCAAAGCAGTCTACATAGCAGTTTGAGTGATTTGGCGATCGAGATCGTTTCGTAGTAGAGTAAGTAGACATATCATGAGGTTTCTTGGGAATGTTGAATACAGGCGGGTCCCCAACAGCCGCTTGGATTCTCTGTTCGAGGTTGTCTCCTCTAGTACTTTGGCCACCACAAGGCAGTGGTGGCAAGCAAAGCTATTTAATGACGGTTCACGCTCGCCATGTCATAGTGTCGTCATTGGGACTTGCG